CACTGTTTCTTCTGACATTGTTATCAGTGAATGTGGTCCTCTTATCGGCTTTACTGTCGCAGTTGGGCCTGACTTACTGTTGTTTATAATCTGGGACCTCGATCTGAAATTTGTTTTCCAATGTTTTTTTTTTGTATTTGTCAGTGTCTTAAAGGTTTTATTTACAGTGTGCTGTAGTGGTTGTTGCACTTAAGTCTTTCTAACTACTTTAACTTATTCGGAATATTTGTTCAGTGACCATGATTAATACTGTGTTAGAGACAAGTCCAGGCTTGTCTTTGTAAAATGCTACAACAGGTAACGCCTGTATTCTGATCGAGTCGATGTCTGTTCTGTTATAAGAAAGTTGAGTTCTAAAGTGAAAGTGTACAAATGAAACATTCACCACATACGTGCTGCTTTGTATTTTAGCACGGGGTGGTTACAGTAGCACATGAGAGCCACTTCCTGTTGAGGGTGGGGACTTCGCATAATGTCACGTAGTTTTGCCCGTGTGTGTGTGTGTGTGTGTGTGGTGAAGCGAGCAGAGGGTGTAGGAGGAAATAGAGAGAGAAAATAACTAAGGAGAGAATTTCACTGGAATTTAAAAGAACACAACAGTACACAACTCAACTATATTTACTTGTTTTTTCACTGTGTTCTTTCTCGTAGTTTGATGATGCTATTGTTGCGAAGGAGCTTGCACTGACAGACTCTGAGCATTCGGATGCTGAGGTTTCCTACACTGATAATGGAACTTTTAATCTATCACGTGGCCAAACTCCACTGACAGAGGGCTCTGAAGGTAAGGAAGCAACTATAACAGATCTTTGATTCCTTTATTTTCTGGTTTGATCCTGCCTCTGACCTTTATTCTGTCTATCATTTGGTCAGATCTTGACAGACACAGTGATGCCGAGGAATCTTTCGCCCAGGACCTCCCAGATTTTCCCTCCATAAACCCTGATGCCACTCTAATGGATGATGACGACGACACAAGCATTGGGCTACCGAGTCTGGGTCAATCTGGGCTAGCTAGTCACCGGGCTTCAGTGCTGGATGTGGAAGGTCACCTGGACTCGGATCAGGAGGATCTAGATGCAGAACTTTCTCTTAGTGGCCTGCCACCTGCCTCTAATTTCACTGGAGACTTGGCTGGAGTCATTGCCAGCAACATGATCCAGGCGGCGCTGGCTGGGGCGATGCAACCTCGGCCTGCTCCTACCCGTCGCAGAGAGGGCCCCCCCAAGGCTGGGGCTCACCGAAGCTACCGCAAGCAGTCCAGCTCCGAACTGGACACAGACTTGGACGGAGAGGACTTTGAAATGCTGGATCAGTCTGAACTGAACCAGATGGATCCCCTTGGAGGAGGAGGCGGTACTAGGAGGGGAGAGAGCCAGGGGTCTACCTTCTTGTCTAGCCTGCTTGGTAAACCACAGTGAGGTGTGTGCGTGTGTGTGTGTGCTGACGAGAGAGTGAGTGTGCGTGTGTGTGCAGCTCGATGGGGAGAGTTCATGTTGATGAGCTGCGAGTGTGTGTGAGAGATGATTTTAGGTTCCAGCAGTCCTGCTTCTGATTGGCATCAGTTTATCACTGTGAAGTACTTTGTTTTTCTATCTTTTCAGACTCTCGTCTCTGTACTTATAAGCCCTAATTATCCAGAAAACTTTACTTTGTAGGCTGAGCAATAGAAAATATAACAAGAAAAATAAAATACATTCAGTAAATAAACCAGCATCATTGAGCCCTCTTGTAACTTTACGCATCTGGAAGTTGCAAGTGTACTAGTTGGTGACTTTAAATGACAAACAGTGCCCATAAAATCTTTTCTACATGGAGGTCTAGGCATACAGGGCTATTTAACATGGGACCAAATGTGACATTCCTGTTGGTTGAGCTGAGCCATGTTTGTTTGGTGATGACATCATGGAGCAGCATTTTATGTTAAAGTCCATTAAGTCATTGCAATAGTTAGACATATCAACCCTTCAAGAAACACCAGTTTGTGTTGATTTTCATGCTCCACTGTGCTTACCATGTGGGCATGATCTGTGGGAGCACGATTTATTTGAAGTTGCAGGTTTACAGAGATTCATTGACATTATTTACACACTTTTCTGCAGTTTTGCATTTGGACAGCAATTCACTTCTACGATGAAGATGAATAATATCATGATGTAGTTTCATTTCTCTGTGATTTTTCTTTACTTTTTTCCGTTTCTGCTAACTGACCTGTGAAGACATCGTGATACAGCTTATTTTGTTTCTCACATTGCAGTCTTATCTGACCCAGGGGAGCACTTGGTGTTATGTTTATTGTTCATTGTATTTATGAACTCGTGCCCCAGGAGAAGAGAGTCGCTTCTTTTCCGAGTGTGAGTAAGTTCCAAATATTTTTCATTTTCCTGCCCTTGAGTGCAGCTCAGGAGCATATTGTGTCCATGTTTAATACCTTGAATGAGCCCTCAGCTTTGTGTGTTTTCTTTTTCAGAGTAATATTAAAAAAGAAACTCTCTATTTTTTCCATCCTTGTATTTTCTGTAGTCGACAGTCAAGTTGAACTTCTTAAGAGAAAATCAAATATTCTCCAGTTCATGGCTCTTTTATTATTTTAACGGGGAACCATGTTTACATCAAAATTGGATAGAAAGTTATCCTATATCCTTTTTTAAAAGTGTTAAGTATGTTAAGGTTTAAAGTGGCTTTTGTGCTGGTCAGCTTGATTTCCTTTACAAGGACGCACCATATCAGTATGTCAGAGTGGAAATAAATGAGCCACAGCTGAGATTTATTGAAATGCAGATATCAGAGTCTAAAAAAATGCTGAGTTTTATAGAGGAAAAACACATTGCTCTCTTTCGTTGTGTTATTTTGAGAAGAAATCATAGCTGCAAGATTTTTAGCACAATAGGAAAAAAAAAACCTGCTGGATCCATATTTATGGAGGTGAAGTAGAACAATGTGCACTGAAAGGAAATTGCTGAGATTTTCAGAATAAATAAAAAAAGAAAAGGTAGGTTAAGTTTGTTGGACTTGGCTTGATGACCTCTGTTAACAAGAATGTTGTTGCTGGCTGCTCCATGGAGAGCCAGTTCCTCAGTATGAGTGATTTGTAGTCCGTTTGATAATGTTATGTGCATAGTAGTGTATTTTCTCCTCTGTATCTGGTTTTGATATGTTTTGATGTGCAAATCGTATTGAATAAAATGTTTGCATTTAAGTCTGTCGTGGGTATTCTTTCATACTTCGTGAGGTAAAACACGGACAGTCATCTCAGGGGGCAGATGAGACTATTGGACAATAATGAAGTCTCTCAATCTGTCAGACAAAAAGCAGCAAAGCCTGTAGAACAGGCTGTGAAACATTAGTCACGACACAGTTTAACACCGATGTTCAGTTTTGTTTTGGATGGAGCGTGACAGCTGTGGACTTTCAAGCCGAGTGAGCAGCTTTAATTGACTACCTCAAGCACACTTCTGAGAATACAACACATTCTGGCTTAAAAAGCAATTTATTTTTGTCATGGCAGATGTGTGGTCCAAAATGCCGGGATGATTTCCAGCCTCTGTGCTTTTTCTCTCTCCCAACAAATATGTTGTCATTTAACTGTCTGCAGCTAAATGACATGATATGATTGTTTTTGGCTCCCGTAACACCACAGTGAACGTAAACAGCCACTTAGGGCCAGTGACAGGACGTCTTGGTGTCATCTTTGAGTCAGGTGAGGAACATTGCCAAACTGAAATCCATCCTCTGTCTAAATGACGTGAAGACTGCAGCACTGTATTCATTTCCTGGTGGATAGATTACAGTACCTGACTGTACCTGGGTACAGGACAGTCCTCTCTGTCTCGTCTGCAGCCGGTGCAGAAGGCTGCTACAAAACTTTGAACTAGTACCAACAAATGGAAAGCATTCTAGCTGTACTAGCATACATGCACTGGCAACCTGGAAAATACCGATTATTTTTAATAAAATGTTTTTTGTGCTGCAATGAAGATCATATATGTTTACTTCCAATCCAATATATATGTCACAGTCCAAATTAAAATCCAGGCGAATTTTAAATCTGCCTAGGCGTGATAAAAATTTTTATTTGGTCTAGACAGATTTTAAATATGCCTGGGCAGAACTGAAATTTTGATTTCGCCTAGACCAAATTAAAATCCTTCTAATATCATAATGATATTGTAATCCTGCCTGGGTAAATTTTAAAATCTGTCAAGGGCAGAATTAAAATTTTGATTTCATCTAGACCAAATTGAAATCATCCTTATAACAAATTGAGATTGTAAACCTGCCCAGGCTGGGTTAAAATTTGACCACACCAAATTAAAAATCTGAATTAAATCAGAATTGTAAGATTGATATCACCTAGACCAAATTAAAATCATTCATGTACTATTCCTACCAGGCTTGGGTGACTGTTAAACATGACAAAAGATGTATCACACCTCTTCATATGTATTTGAATGAAAATGTTGGTGTGACCCTTTGATGGTTACAGCATTAAAGAATGTGAGGTTCAAACCATAGTGATGTGTGGAGGTTATAGATTTAAAATTTACCCATGCAGGCAGAATTACAATCTCATTATGATATAAAAAAGGATTTTAATTTGGTCCACACCAAATCAAAATTTCAATCTCACCTAGGAAGATTTAAAATCCGCCTGGATTTTAATTTGGACTGTGACATATGCCTCATTGTCAACTAGTTTTGCCCTGTATGCCAAAATGTTATTGCCTGTATGCATATTATACAGTCTGTCTGTATGACAGGGATGACCTGAGATCAGCCAAAACGACAGAGCTGTCACTCGGCTCTTCTTTCGGGACATCGTTAAAGACATAACAGTAGTATAAAAAAATATTAAGACAAATAATTATTGCTCGAAACACTGTCAATACGTTGTCGTTTAAAATTTTTTGCGCCAAAATCAACCAAAAAGAGCTCAGACTCGAGAACAGAATACGGAGTTGGACTGGAGTGATGCATCTTAAACTTTAAACGATCTTTTCCGTGACGCTTATTTTGCGCGAAACTCAATCGGAAAAGCTAAAGTTCAGGTGAACTGGTTGGAAATGAGTAAAAAAGATAACGGTAAGTCAAGAGCTGCGTTTGTGTCAGGGTGTTTTTGCCTGTAACTAGTTAGCTGGCGTGTCTGACGCCGGTATAGAACAAAAGATGCTCGTTAGATGTCGCAGGTAGTAAATTACAAAGTTTAGCTAAAATGCTCTATGCTAACGTTAGCTACTAAGTATAAGACAAGCTAATGTTGACCTCCGTTGTTTTTTATGTGGTTACTCGAAATTTATTTTAAACCACTATTTCGTAAATACATCGTATATGCTCGTTGTTTCTTTTAATGTAACAGAAAACAGTTTTATTGTTTAGGGAGTAAATTGTTTCCCAAAAGCACTGACTACACAACATTCAGGATAGATGACATGTACAGTCCAATCAAAGAAAACCCTTTGTAATAATACAAATAGTATAAAAGTCTTGTTGTGATGTTTAGTCGTGTTTTTGATTTATTAAGTGCAATATAGTGATTTTTACTTACCTGTTATGATCGGATTGTCGTGCTGTCATTCACAGGAGCGTCAGTCATCCTCGCCTATCTGAATGAGAAGAACCGTCCTTACAGTGCTCAGGATGTCTTCTGCAACCTACAAAAGCAGCATGGGTTGGGAAAAACGGTGAGAATAATGTGTGCATCAATACATGGGTTTAGGTTCTGTTTGAATATTCATTAGGGGAGCTGAACTTGTGAGTGTCAAACCCCCTGATTTATTTTTATGCACTAATTTGGGCCTTTTTTAAAATTTGCATCAGTTTATTGTAGAAATTATTTTTGCAAAGACAAACACAAGATCCAGGCACCAGGTGATATGAAGAGTGCCACTTATTTTGTTTTGCTTTCAAATACTTATTGTCCCGTAGATCGACTCCTTCATGTTTTTACTTGCTTTACTTTAAATACTGAGGGGGGCATATCACCCCTGATGTCTAAGATGCGTCTCTGGCAAATACACAAATATTGATTGATTGCACATTTCCTCCACCAGGCTGTGGTCAAAGCCATGGAGCTGCTGGCTCTGGAGGGCAAGATACGGGAGAAAACATACGGCAAACAAAAGGTTTATTTTGCAGATCAGGTTAGTCTGTTTAGCTGGACTGTTGCCCTGCTGTGCACAAGAATATACGCACATATAATTTTGCATTTTTCATTTTGAAACTGACCAGAGCCACTAATCTCTCCCACAGGCTCAGTTCAAAGATGTGAACGATGCAGACCTGAAAGCAATGGACTGTCAGATCTCAGAGCTGAGTGCAGAGGTGCAGTCCCTCACTCAAAGCTGCAGACAGCTCGATTCAGGTGGAGTACACTGCTGATCTGTGCACGCTGGCACTATTTGTTTTTCAGAGCACAGTTTTAGGCCACAGCATGCTGCTGGTTGATACGGTGTATGGTTTGCATTAGATTTGTCCACACGTCTCCACACTGTTGTTGTTGTTGTTGTACTGCATTTCTTTAAAAGAGGAGGTTGTGTAACCGTGTGTGAAATCTGTGATAACAGAGCTGAAGGAGCTGAACAGCTCCCTCACTACAGAGGAAATGGTGTCCGAGATCCAAGAGCTAAAAACAGAATGTTCTGGATACAGAGCGCGTCTGGAGAAAATAAAGTCAGCAGCAAATCATGTCACACCAGAAGAAAAAGAGAAGGTGCCTTCATGTTTTCTTGTGACAGCAAACCACCTATAGTGAATATACTACTGTTGGTGTTTATCTCCATTTCCAGCGCAGTGAGGTATTTGTCAATATTTACATCTACAGGTTTACAAAGAGCGAGACGTTTACGTCAAGGAGTGGAGAAAGAGGAAGAGACTGGTAATGTCTGTTTTTTTACTAAACACATGTTGAAATTATGCAGATGAGTGACAAAAGAAAAACCTGAACCCTTGTCCCATATTGTGAGGGGATCTGGTGGCTCTGTTAGCCTATAGGGGTCCACTTGTCCCTTGTAGAGATAAAGGCTCATTGGAAATCAACACAAAGTTGTTCAGGGTGATCACCTTAATCCTATGATGGAACATGTCAGTCCTGATTCTTCCAGGATGACAGCGCTCCGATCCATAGGGCACAGGGGTCACAGGATGGTTCAGTGAATTTCATGCTATGACCACAGTCACTAGATCTTAAGCAACGTGAACACCGATAAGAGATACTCACTAGAACAACAAATGAGGCAATGTCTCTTAGAAGAATGGTGTTCACCCCCCAGTAGAGTTCCAAAAATGTTCTTCAGTTAGTTTGTCAACCATGAGAAGCTCCTCTAAAGCCAGATGTTTAATATGTATTTTGTTTGCGTGATGCAATAAATTCTAAAAGCACTACATAGAAAAATAGTTAAGGTGTTTTATACACACCCATGATCACCCATTTAAAGGCACGTCCTTAAAATTTGCTGCGCTTTGTTTCTGTCAGGCTTCAGACATGATAAATGCCATCCTGGAGGGATACCCAAAGAGCAAAAAGGAATTCCTGGTGAGTCAAAGAAGCTAATTAAATCATCTTTCAAAACCTGAAGTTCCTGCCATCACCTGTGGTGTTTTGTCTCCCTGTAGGATGAAACTGGAGTGGAGACTGATGAGGACTGCAAGGTGGTCGTTCCAAAGACCTGAACAAGAAAACGCAGCTGCCACATCAGTGTAAGCCTGTGTGGTACATAGCTAAAAAAGTAATTATATATCAGAGCTGTCTGAGCCATAACATACTTTATTTAACGCCTTTCTTTTGAATAAATTGTACAAATTTACTACATTTTGAAGCAGCATTTTAACTGAAAGTATATTAATACACAAACAGCTGTTGTTTGTGAACAAAAGAGGCATTACTGGTTTAATGTGTCCCTTTTTTAAAGCCATTGAAGTAATGCGTTTCCATAAATGTCGAGTTATTCGTTAAAGCTTTAAGAGCTGTGCATCCTTTGTTGTTCTTGTACATCTTTAAGTCCATGTTTGTGTCAGTTTTTTTGAAAATACAACTTAACCACGATGTATAAAGCATGGTTATAGGTGAATAGTATGAGTATAGTTTATCTCCAGTTCTCTCCTTTCAATCATCGGTTGTAGTTTTTTCTGGCTGTATAACTGCCAAGTTATTAAATGTTCATGACGCTAACTTCTGACGTTCAAGCTCAGCAGTAATTTCACAACCAAACTCTTCTGTTTCTCAATTACCTTCAAACACAGGAGGTTTAACAAGTTTGAGTAAAAAGAAAACATTAAACCTGCAGTGCAGACCTTTTGTCAAACAGCTGCTTTTATAGACTGTAATCCTTCCTATGAATGAGACTGCGGTAAAGTCGACACAGACACCAGATTTAACATTAAGGTATACTGCAAAATCCAGATTTACATAGTGCTGACAGGTTTAATTAGCATTGTGTGACCAGACATTCACTCAAAAGCCACCCACTCCAGCTTTAAATACATTTCTTTACATGAGATGACGTCACTCTGTGGAAGGTGATATACATTCAACAACCCCTTTTAGGCACATCTGTCACATCTAATTTAATCAAATATGCAGTATCAGCTCAGCCATGAACTACCTTTACAAAGACAATGTTAAGTTTTTGTTTACACAATCAAAAGGTAACTTCAATTCTAGACATTACATTTAAATTAGAAACATTCCAACATGATGCAGTACAATTAAAACTACTGCAAACCACAGCCTCAATATTTAACAGAGTTGAATTACAACTCTGTCAGTGTAAATCAGAAATGATCTTTGTAGAAGCAGGTTTGATGGCTCAGAAAGTGTCCACTGAGAGTTGGTAGCTTGTAGCAACAAGATAAGACAAGACGGGGTAAAAAAAAAATCAGTACTTCGATGATTAAAGCCACAACAGTGTTTATTTTATTTCAGTACAGAAAAGCTATATACCTCCGTGGTTCACATCAGAAACCCGTAAGATGTGCAGTCTCGATTGATGGTGTCTAGAGGTCGTGACAGTTGCACTGTATGAAATGAACTGTAACGGATTATAAAAGCCACAGACAACAAAAGTAAACCGCATTTATGATGACATAAACATCAGTGAAATCTCAAGTGAAGTC